CTAGTTTCGATAGGAGGCTTTGGGCATTCGTGTACAAGCACCTCAGTTTAGCACCAGCCGAATTTCCCGTTGCATTTGTTACTGCTGTGAGCATTACTCCGTTATCGCGGACGTCGTGTTCTCTAGGCTCTTCCGTTACCTGATTGGTTCCATTTACATGCCTTGTTTCAGTCAGATCACTGGACGCTACGGGCTCACTTGTGTTGGCGCCTTGATCAGGTGGTTCAACGAAGGTGTCTGTTTTAGCTGAGTAGCTGTCGGCGTTCGTAGTATTACAGGCTGGTTCCACTGAAACGGCATATATTTCCGAACTACCTTCCCCTTGAAGATAGCCAGATTGTGTTCGCTATCCTTCAGTCTTGATTTTAACTCCAAGACAAGTTCCCGGCGTTTCAACCGTTCCGCTGGTGAATAGTCCGGTTGAAAAAAAACCTGTTTGTGTGTGTTTCTGAGATCGGTTTTTTTTAGAGAGGATAAACTTGATTTGCTCTTTGTTCTCCAGCATAATTTTGAGAGGGCGAGGTGGTTGTGCTACTGTCCTGTCTTCACTCCTTTTTCCTATCCGGAATGCTTTCAGAACCTTTATTTCCATGTCTGCCGGCAGCAAATGATTTAGCAGACCATGAAAAGAAGCAAGGTCCTCTGAGACACGGTCTTCAGGTCTGACTGCATTCGATTCTGACAAACCCTGAATAACCAGACACTGCTGGCGAGCATGGTCCTCCTTACTCTGTCTTTCCGGTGAATGCGCTGCATGTGGGCGAGGACGATTTACGGAGTCATCGTTTGGACGCACACTTTTACTCTCTACCGACTGTCCCGAGCAACCCATCAGGGCTGGCTGTAACTTCAGAATCCTGTCATGGCGTTTCCCTCTCCCCTCTACCCACTGGTTTATGTCTTCACATTCAGATACGTGCTCTGTGGTGCGCTCGGGGTGGTTGCCAGAACAAGAGGGCAACAGTAGACTGGATGACCCAGGTATATCGTCTCCAGGCAGAACAGAAATCCCATCACTTACAGCAAGAGGCTTAGGTGACATGGATTCCGCGATAGGTAATTTTTTTGCGACATCGCTTAAGACATCGTGCGTGGGAATCGAGTCTCCCATTATCGGCGGCTTCGTTTTCATTCTCCTGCTGTTACCGGCGTCTGCGGTTTTGGCTGTTGAGTTGCTACTCGTGTTTGAAGATACTCCCGAGGAGATATTTTTTCGCGTTTTTTGCGTTTTGCTCTTCGTTTTTGGGATACTAACACTGGACACGTTCTGGCCGACTACGGTCTGTTGCACGAGCGTCCTTAAATCAGCAAGCTCCTTTTCCAGTTGTTCTACTTTGATTTGAATATCTGCGCACTCAGCACAAGGCTCGTCTTCGTACCTCACACTTTTTGCGGTATTTACGCTTTTTGCACGCTTTGCTGGTCGTTGGCTGGAGGCGAAGGTTGAGCGAGCACAGGGTCTGGATGCGAAGAACAACTCACCGGACTTATCTTCCAAAGAGGTGCCGTAGCTGGCCGTACTACTACAGTTAGCCTGCTGAGAATCCATAAACTTCGACGTGATATAATAGGTATAATTCCGCTTTCGATGTTGTAACGAATACGTCCGCTTATATATGATGAATTAAAGTGAGTATTCAAAACTCAATAAGCGAAAAAATACTTAAAATCCGATAAATTTTGTTGAATTTAATCAGAAGCGACTTAGCCCTTTCCAGATCTCGTGGGACTTGAATAACTGCAGACCTTGAAGGATTTTGAGCGATTGGTTTTCTAGGCTGTATACCGTGAATCGGTTGCGTACCCAGTTGCGTTGTCAGTTGGACCGTGCTGATAAACAAATTGCACTTAATCCAGGTTCCAGGCGAATTTCGAAGCGTGAAAAAATATTCCAAAAATGCACAAAGTTAGTCTGTACGTACGGTTCCAGTATCAATGTCAGAGACTGTAACTGTGGGATGGTATCCAAGTCGAAATTGTCCCAGTTGGAGCGCAGAATAATTCCGTCGTGCTCAGTTGGTTTCAGGCCTATCTGAATTCAACAGATGGTCCCAGACCGGGTTGATTTCCTCGCGACTACTGATCGATCGCCTTCATATTTCTACCTTTATAGTCACGAATTTAAGTGTACAAGCCGGATGGTTTGCATCCCGCATTCTAACTGGGCCGGGAGGGTAGAGGTCGTCGGCCATTCATATCCAATTCCGAGGTTTGGCACACCTGGGGCTTGAACTCGCGACCTGTTAGTTACAAGTCCACTCCTCTAACCACTGGGCCACGAGCTCGTTGTCCTGTCGGTTTCGATCGGGAATATACAATGGCGGAGAGGTGCTCATCGATCGTTCTTACGGAATTCACTCCTTCCGTTGTGCCTTACGGGCTCTACCTCGGGCCCAGCCAGCAGCCGCACAGCGGAGCATGATATAGGCAGAATGGCATTACCAACAAAGACAAGGGAGACTGGAATGTTCATTTCTGGCTTATAAGCCATCGTCAGCCAGCCATACCCAAACCTGGGGTAAATACTTCACAAGCAGCATCAATAAGCGTGTGGATTCGATGCCATTCGAACAGGCCTTTCACCGTCATAAAAATCTCATAAATGCAAACTCCTTTTAGGCCGCGAGATAAAATTTCTCTGGAGGTCGTAATTTACTGCAAAATTAGTACTACAACCTATAAAATAGGTTTGAATTTATAAGGGCTTAGAGACTCGGAGGGAAAGTTCGTACAAGGTGCCACTTCTTGGTGTGGTCTTTGCACAGTTGGCAAGCGGCGCACTTGAAAACCGACACCAAGCCCTAGACTTAACGTCTAAAAACCTCTCGAGCTTTCATGATCATCCCCTAAAACCTAATTTACTACTGGTGGCAAGTCGTATGAACAAACTGAAAACATCCTTGTCAAGACAAACCACATTCAGAACCACAAGGAATTATTAAATCACTTGGTTCGGATATCTGTTTCGCGATAGAAGCGGAAACCAACAGCCAACTTTCCTCAGATGTCGGTGCGAAGCAAGAGAACTGCAAACTACGGTAACCAGAAAAAGCATCGACGCCAGACAAATACGACCCTTCAACAGCAATCGACCATAGCGAATGTTGATATCTACAGTGCGACCCATGGCGTGGCGGGTGCAGGACATTGACCTGCGTGTGAAGTGGTTAGTAGTGAGACGGGCTTGCACAGCATCCACCGCACTCCACCCTCCCTTACCCATTTGGGCCCAGTGGCATAAGGTCACGATGGCTGAAGATGGACTTAGGTGCGGTGGCTGACACACTTAGACATTCTGCCCACGCACGCCACACACGACCTGATCGTCGTAGAGTGCGCAAAGCTTCCACAGCGGGTGTCTTAGATACCACCAGGCGGGAGTGCCACAAAGAAGACAATTAGGCCTGACTTTCGTGCCGGGAAGGGCTGAGTTACCCCATCAGTTGGCAGCCTTCCAAGTCACGAATTTTGGCGCATCGTCGAAGATTCGACCACATCAAACTTATTATGGTTGGGAGTGCGCTGAATTGCCTGTGGGATGGATGCCCCAGAGTGGACCTCACTCTCTACTCCCTCTCGGCTGTTCAAGTCTGTCAGTTGCCTGGTGCTGGGATTGAGGGCGGTGACAGGCGCGGCGTGAGGCCTACGCCTAGGCGTTCCACTGCACTACGCAGGGCAGTAATTGTGAGCTCCGACGGGTTTCGCGCAGCCAGATTAACGCGTTCCGTGACCCAAGCTGACCCCGTCTGTTCCAACGCACTTATTATGCAGCCCCCTAGTAAGGGTCATCCACAGCGACCACCTCTGCCTCACAAACGTATCTACGTCTGCACTCTCTTCCAAGTAGGTAAAGTGCCTTGTCGAACGTCAGCAGATAGGAGCCGAAAGACTTAGCCTCAGCCTCTTCAAGGTCAACCAAGGCACTTTATCGAGGACGAACAGAAAAGCCAAAGGGGCAGAAACCCGAAGTTCAGAAGCCCTTACGTCAAGGATTCGTCGAGCGTGGACGCGCGGCTTAAAGATATGATGTCATGAACCGAAACCCCGGTTATCACGCCTTAGAAACCGGACGAAAATGGCACACCCGCCAACTCTGAGGCCAGGCCCCCAACTCCAATTCTGCAACGCGCACAAAAGACGCTGAACATGATTCTAACCTTCAAGGAGCGACCAACAACCAGACAACGAGGTCACCGACGGAGATGCGGCGATGACGCTTAACCATATAACCCCACACAGAGGCCCAAATGCCCTCCGTCCACGCAATGACTAACAACGCAAGCAGTTCTTGAACCCGCCAGAGGCCGAGGCAGGGACCAGCCCAAGTCGGACTACTTTAGTAGTAGAAGTAGTAGTAGTAGTAGTAGTAGTAGTAGTAGTAGTAGTAGTAGTAGTAGTAGTCACTTTGACAATGGAGAGTCGACCCAAAACGCTGAAATGTCAGCAACACAATAAGCCCGTTGCAGCGCAAGTAAGTCCTGCCTCTTAAATTATCCCCTTTGAACTGAAAACGATCAGAACACAAAACCCCAATGAGCCAATGAAGCCGAGGGTCGTTATGAGAAGGAACTTTGCTCGAGTTCAGTCAGAGTGATCGCAAGGAAGGTTCGGTTGGACGAGCTGCAACCAATCACAGTCACTTCGACCTGTCTTATGCAACGATCTGACCAGTTCACGTGTGTTAAAGACCCCGCATGACCGACTGAGCCAAAGTGCAGAAAAACAAACCACAAAAAAGACACTGCAGTTCACGACTTACCCTTTTTTCCTTTTTTGCGACGTAAGAAAATGTACAAAATATGCGACAGCTCTAACTATGTACACTCGGTGTCAACTAAAACATAGGCTCATCGAAGGGCAAAATAGCACACGAGTGGTTAAAAAGGATGTACAAGGTAGGACGATGGGTGAGAGCGCATAGTGGCGAAAGCAGGGCTGTCCGTGGAGACAAGGACGGCGGGTTAGTCAGACGCATCACAGAGAAAACTTTCGGAACCATTCTATGGATCAGGGGGCTTGGCTGACTCAGAAGACGGTGGTTTGGAATTTAGCGTTCGGAGTTCCTCGTCTATGCGCTCTTTGGCACGGAAAACCTGTAGGATGGCAAAAAAGGCTACAGTAGAAGACCGAATAGTAGAAGGGGCGTTCGAGGAACGCGACCGAAACCCATCGGTGGCGCAGGCGATGCGGGGTCTCGAGGATCAGGCAGGGCTGGGCACCGATCAGTCAAACTAGCAGCCTATAAAAAGATCGCAAGTGATAGCGATGCTAAAACGTGGTGGAAACTGATCGCCATCCGAGATGGCTTCACTCGTCGTCATTCCAGACAGTCCTGGAACTTCAGACTGACGTGTCGGAGAAATGGATGTGGACACCTGTTTTAGGATTCTGGAAGTACAGTAAATTATCCCGACAACAGGCCGCCCCGCACAACCGCGGTTCGGGAAGCAGTGGTTCAACAGGATTTCCTGAACAACCGAAGGCCTACGGCTCGCGAATATTTGTTAAAGGCCAATGGCTCCGATGGGAGGTAATTGCCCGCCTATCAGCAAGACAATATCTAAGTGGCGTAGATCTACGCACAGAGACGACCACCGCCAACTAACAAAAATGTCCACTACTACTATGACTACGATAGCTACTACCACTTGCGGTGGAGGAGCAAGAACAGGTGAACAATCTGAATATATGTCATTGTCAATCAGGAATGGACGTACACCGATCTGCTGGGTTCCCGAAGCAAACAAGCTCCGTATGGGTAGCAAAGACCACGAGCAGACAACAAACTATCACCTCGAAGTCGGCCAAGTCGTAATAACCTATTCGTGACCTTTGCTACCCATACGGAGCTTGTTTGCTTCGTAAGCCAATAGATCGGTGTGCGCCCTTTCCTGATTGAATAAATACCCGATATGCAGCGACAGAGAATGACAGGTGGCGAGGCACTGATGAACATCGGTTCGATGAAGTGCTTATGACCCATCTGGTAGGCCTCAGTGATGGACCAACTGCGCCAGGTGCGTCTGTGCGCATGTTTGTGTTTCTGGTCCCAGCTGCTGGTGGTCAGGGTTATGACTGGCTGAACGAAGGCATAATAAGCCCGAAACAGTACTGTATCAATCTACCCGCATTCTCTGTCCTCCCTCCTCGCTGCCATTATGGCTTGGCCGACTTCAGCCTGGTAGTTAGTTGCCTGTTCGTGACCTTTGCCACCCATACGGAGCTTGTTTGCTTCGTGAAGCCAGTAGATCGGGGTGCATTTATACCTTCCTGAGTGAATACCCGATCTGCAGCGACAAAGAATGACAAGTGGTGAAGCACTGATGAACTTCGGCTTGACAAAGTGCTCATGACCCATCTACTGGACTCCGTCTGTGGAGCATCTGCGCCCTGTAAGAGCGCATGTTTTTTTTGTCCCAGCTGGTGATCAAGGCTTTGGTTGGCTGAATGTGGGCAGAATAAGGCCGGAACGGTACGGTACAAAACGTCCATCTTCCCAAGATGCAAAGCAAACGACCCGTTTCAACATTAGTTCAAGAATTTGCCACAGATAATGATATTGTGGAGCAAATAGCAGTCTGAAGGGTTAAACATTTGGCAGAACGTGGAATACCGGGATGTTATGATGAAGCAAAGGTCGAATGCATGGTAAAGAGAGTACCAAAAGTTTGAGCATTTTGCTAAACGCGGAACGTGGAATACCGGGATGTTATGATGAAGCAAAGGTCGAATGCATGGTAAAGAGAGTACCAAAAGGTTGAGCATTTTGCTAAACGCGGTTCTTCTGACATACTGACTGGTCAACGTTAGAAATAACTCGTGATGAGCATATTCTGTCGGCGAGTATCCGCTGTTTCGACTCGCGATTCAGCGTATCCGCGTGTTGAGACTACGGTCAAAGACGGAGAAGATCGAGGCGCCAGACAACCGGTGCCTACCAGAACACTGCAACGGCAGCTCACGGAATAATTCTAGAATGTGGAAGTCCGTCGCTAATCGGGAGAATATGCCGAAACCTGAGATGTTTCGATCACGAGTTCGGTCGAGCCGAAGAGGAACTCCTCCACAACGTCATCGCTCTGAAAACCTGTCCGTGTTGACGCTGCCACCGAGATCGGCAGCTGAGGTGTCAGGCCTGAACGGATGCTAAGTTCTACAGCCCCTGGTAATCGCGCATGAGACTCCAGAGGGATAATCACTGCTGAGTCAAGTCGGTGATCGCGGGACATGGGCTACATTGGCCCATGATGCTATCGGCTCTATGTTCGTCCGTAGATGTATGAGTAGTTGGTAGTGCTGGCAGTCGAGAAACAACTGCCTGTGTCCGTCTACCATCAGACCCTTTCCCTTGAGCAAGAAAATGATATACAGGCGAACAACTCCCACGGAAAATCTTACGCATACGACTAGCCGAGTGTGAAAGCTGGTTCGGGTCGAGAGATAAACCGTGGCAGGAATGAAGTGAGGTCCATGTATGATTGGTTAGCCACTGAGACCAGTCGCGTCCCAAATTATCCTGGTTTGCTCTAGTTGACGTAATAAAGCAGGGCAATAAGTCCTCACTTTAGGCCACTTAAGGCTCAAATAGCCTTCCTTCAGTGAGATGTTTGTCGTCAAAAAGTTTAACAGAGTCACTGGGGGGAGAAAGGTTGAAAAATGCAGTCAAGATCGACCTCCACGACGGGGGACCCTCGTGGGCGTGAAAGGTGGAATTTCCGAGCGCACAGTTAAATTTTAATAGCATGGGCCTACCAGCAAAGCCTAGTTCAGGACGCATGTCGACAAGTATTGTGGGAATAGTAATAGCAGCTGAAGTCTCTGTAATACTCCCAGTTCTGTGCCACAAAGACAGTTTACTTGTAGTGACGCAGCACACAGACAGAAAGGCAGAGAAAATCGGGTTTCTGATCTTTCTTGCTAGATTCAATTGCCAACGACTGACAGCAGTGGCTGTAGTCAAGAAAACAACTGAAGGCGGTATAAACGGAGACTGCAGAAGGATGGCGAAAAACTTGAAAGTGGAGCTGGAAAAATCAGTTTTACAAGAGAAAATTTAGGAAAAGTGGGAAAACAGAGTCACTCCTGGTACCATCATCATAGGCAAGTATAATAGGACGAGATCTACTTAAAACACAATAGTGGCATTAACAGGATTCCAATACAAGATTAAAGGGCGTCCGGTACTCAAACAGAAGACAATGTAGTTGCACTGTGTCGGCAGCATAAAAAGAAATTGTAGGAGGTGGACTCACCTTAGACTGGAGATAAAGCGAGCCGCCTTTGGACTTGGCATTCACAGAAAATAAGTGGTCAAACTTCTTCTGCAACTCCTCGGCATTACGGATGTCTTGGATGTTTAAGATTTGCTTTGCTTCCTCCAGAGAAATCCCAGACAGAGAGTCGGTGAAGGAACCACCATCACGTGATGAGGAATCATTGGCACGCGAACTGGCTCGAGCCTTGGCGGCTTGCTGACTCGCGGCGTACTCCTCCTGCAGTGCCTTCGCAAATGCGCGGCCGAGGATGCGCGAACCAGCCAGCAATATCTGGGCAATATACTTTGCCTGAGAGGTGCAGAAGAAAGGAATTCCTTCACGGTCAAGCCAACCAGTTGAAGTGTATGCAATAGGGTGAGAAAGGCTCCCGCCAGGCATGACATTTTCCATGTGTTTGAAAATAGGGTACTGCCTCAATCTGCAGCGGCTACAGCTGCCGCGACCCTGTGCTAAGTTATTGGCCTTTCACAAGGATGGGTATAGATAACCGGTCTCGAAGCGAAGCCCTCGCCAATACCATTCACTGGTCTAGACGAGTAGAGTATAATTCGATGCCGTCCCAGACCAATCAGGCGTGCAAGAACTTAAGATGGGATAGAAATCGAACACGAAGACAGCGGCAATGAAGATGTCAACAAAGACCGCTCGAAGTAAGAAGTCTCGCTCAAGAGAGGACATTGGAATAAGAATTTTCTGCTAGATTTTTGTAGGTCAGATGTTGCAGCGCAGGCAACTGGTAGGAACAAGAGCCATAGTGAACTACTACAAAGTTTGGGATTAACGATGCGACTGCGCTTCCCCAGGCACTTGAAGGTGATAACAACAAGTGATACAAGATCAGACCTGGTTCGCTCTTTGTAATTTTTCCAACACCTTGACTGGTTTTTTCCCCTCGACACAACAGTTTGAGCAAGATTGAATACACGCCGCCTATTGGAAGTTAAGAATCCTATTAATAATCAAACACAGAACAATGAGAACCGCGACCTCATATTAGCTACCATCAAGCTTAGGCTTGATAGAGATAATTGCTGTATCCGGAGTCCTCACGTAGGAAAAAATGCACTACAATGCTTAGTTCCAATCTAACAAGGTTTCATTTTTCGCAAAATGACTACTCACTGTAGCTTTGAAGACAAATGTCAAAACAATTACGGCCGATGTATGAATGCAAACAGGTTACTTTATTAATTTCAGATTAAGCGGATCACCTGCAGCGGCGTCTAAAATATAAACGCATCCAAGGTTGTCGCCAGTGTCTCATACAGATCAAAATTCCTTACCGCTCCTTCTTTTATGACCCGACAATAATTTGACCCAACTTACAAATGCGGCACAGATTGGAGCCCTCATTTTTATTGCTCATAACGTTCGTTTCTTTCCTGTTTTAACAAGAGATGGTATAGACGGCAGTTGATCTGGCGTAACAAATTAGCATTAGGAGGTGTGGTGGCAAACTACGCAAAACAGATTACAGAATGCGTGAAGGTGGAGTTCCCTTTGATCGAAGTGGCGAAGATAAGTAGAATGTGCACAGTTTCTAACTTAAGGCTTGCTCGTCAGACGCGAGAAAAACCGCAATCAAAGACAGGTCTTAACGACACCTCGCAGTTTTACGAACTTTCAGTGTGCGCATGGGTCGAACAATCCTGGTTCAACTATAACGACCTAACGTAGCAGACAGTTTGCATAGTCCTGTCAACCATGTGTCGTTACCTAGGAAAAGATGTTGCCTCTACGAAATCAGGATGGTGGGCGCTTATTATATACTAGTCTTGTCGGGGCCTTTATCCAACAAGTCACAATTTAGTGTCGTATTCAAGCAAGTCATATTTGATACGTTGCTTGATTGGATTGCGAATCGACAAAGAAAGATTCACTTTCAACCAACTTTCACAACGCTACTTATGGCGCTAATAAGGTATCCGAGAGATGGAGGGCATAAAGTGAAATACCAGTCTACAATCACTAACTGCCACTGAAAGCTTTGGAAATTGCAAGCAGTTAGCTGGCTTGTTATAATTTGATAGGAAAGCCGACAGGTTGGGAAAGCTCAACTTAACGTACGTTCTTAGAACTCGATATATGCGATTCAAGTGAAACAACCTACGAGAGACAAACCAGTCTTTTATGGCGCATGGAAAGGGGCAATTCGTAGCATACAGATGGTGGTAAGGCCTTTTACTGGAAGAAAAGAATAATCTGAACTACAACACCGAGGACTCTGGGTTCTGCTCGTAAAACCTGAGACCACAAAGGTACGCACGTTAGACGGATGGGACCTAAATATGTGCGTGTTAGGAGTCTTAATGTGCTAGACTTGTTTCATTAAAAATCATAACATATACCTGAATGCAAACGAATCCAAACAAATTAAAAAATTAGAAAACAATTTTAGTTCGCCTTGGGCTTCATTCAGTTTCGAATATTCGTCTCCCAGCTCCCAAGACCAAAGCAAGGTGAGTAAAATGTTTCTGAGTGCTCAGGTGTCTGCCTTGCCCAACATCAGGCTACAAACGCGGGGAGGGGACGAAACTAACCATGTCAAGAGCCAACGTTGAAAGCAAGCCTCTTTCTGAGCGTATTTAAATACAAGTTGCGATGAGGCCATTGAAGATGTCAACATGAACAAGACAATCGGACGTTTGGTTACGTGAATATTTCAGTTCGGTTTTTTTTAACGAACTACCACTACAGTAACGTCAACTCCGCTGAGGGATGTCAGTCGGCAGTGATTCCTGAAAATTTCATATTCCTGCACCAAAATTGCGACTCATGAGGGCTATTTAAGAGCTGCAAGTTGACGTGAACTGCTTTCTGAATGGGGCGGACAACACCTAAGAATTTAACCGTAATTTGTTTCTCTTTGTTTGCTCTGTTTTTTTTTATGTTCTATTTCGTGAACCAAGTATAACCACGAGTTTGCGCCCGCATTTTTATGACGGATGGAAGCATTATGTAATTAACAGTTTTCTCCCATAAGGACCCAACAGCGTGCCTATTTATTTGATCAGAACGGGCTCAGATGGAGCGCTGAAATGCGCCAAAATGATCTTCGGTCCTTCCGTTATCAGTTGAATGCTATATATAAGTGAATTTATACAGTCTAAGTATGAACGATCTTCTGTTTGATGCAAGCTATTCAGTTCAGCTGGTCTGGGGGAAAAACGTGCGTGCACATTCGAAGGTGCTATAGTTCACGTGTAACTAAGGATTATTGGCAATAATGTGGGAGAACTGCAGAGAGTAATGATATGAACCATGGTTTGTCATCAGCATGAATGTATGTAGGTTACGTAGTAATATAGCCTGCGAGGTGCTGTAACTGATAACAGCCAAGTTAAGTCTCAAGATTTGCACCAACTTAGGGGTAATAATCGCTTAATGAAAGCTAATTGATTGATAATTTTAATTAATATCAGTTTACAGGCATTGTCAAGGGAAGCGTTAAACACAGATCCGACCAGCAGTGAAAAAACTCCTTAGGTAAAGGAATAAAAATATAGTTGATGGTGGTTTTTATGGTTTGGAGGGTTCAGGAGAAAAAACTGCTGACAGTGTACAATCGACCGTCAAGAAGGGGGGGTTGCACGGTGTCGGAGATTATCGGACGTCAATTCCTTTCATGGAGTTGGGGATAGTCAAAGTAGAGGCGCCGAAGAACAGCTGTCGCTGTTGGCCAAAGAAATTGTCCCTGGTGAGACCAGCCATAGTGTTCAGGGGCCACAAACGCCATCACTACGGTACAGTTGATCAGTGGATTCAGAACCCAAATGTTGTGGGAGCTTTTCTGAATGCAAAAATCGAGTAATAGTTCTCTTAAATAAAGGAAAATTTTGCAGAGTTTTCACACTCATGGATAGTTTCTTCCAAATAGCAATTGCCTTTACACAAAAGAACCGATGATATTTAACAGCACGTGCCAGAGGAAGAAATAAAAAGACCTCACGGTGACTGTTAGGTCGTGGGTGGATATGATGTCTTAAAGAAGTGAGTGGGTTAAATGTGTGATTATATAAGAGTTTAAATAGCAAAAATAGTCCCTTCTGTAATCTACGGAACCATAATGGATCAAGGCCCGTAAGACGGCAACGTTCTTGGTAAGACAAATGTCGGTATTCCGGGGCTAAAATTCTCTTGGTAAAAAAGTGTTGAACGGATTCTATTTTCTTCCGCCCAGTAGCACGCATGAGGCTAAATGAAAACGAACAGTATTCCAGACCAGGTCTAACGTACATGTTGAAAAGGCGCATTCTAATGTCCCTAGTTTTAAAGTTTCGGAGGATAAACCCGGTCGTTCTACGTGCTTTGGAGACTATCAAGGCACAGTGCTCCGAGAGATTGAGACTCTTGGAATATGATACGCCCTTATCCTTTCTAACCCTGGGCACATTTATGGCGTGGCCTTCAATACTTAGTTGAGGTTGGCGGTCGTCGCCAACCACCATGACTGAGCACTTATGCCAGGAAAGAGAAAGGCGCCATGTGCGGCATCACTGGGCGAAAGCCTGTAGATCGCTCTTTAGGAGCTCGAGTACGATGTCATGATCTGCCGGCTTATATTGATATGCAACTTTAAGATCATCCGCATGCATGAAAGGCTTACAATTCTGAAATAAATCGGATACATCATTAACGAAAAGGCAAAATAAAAGCGGGCCGAGTATACTACCCTAAATGAGTCCACTCCTCACACTTGTGGGGTTGGAGAGAGTATTGGAAATCTTAACTCCTTGTGTACGTGTTCCCAGATAAGAGGATATAAAATTTAAAAGTTTGCCACCTATTCCGAAAGAGGACAGTTTCAAGAGAAGAAGAGCATGGTCAACACGATCAAAAGTCTTAGTAAAATCGAAATATCCTGTGTTAAGTGCAAAACCATTGTCCGTAGATTGGAGAACATAGTCAAAGAAAGAGAATCGACAGGTGTCACAAGACCGAGCTTTGAGGAATCCATGGTGCGCGGGAGGGTGTTTACTGGCCAAAAGTCATCAAATAACTTAGGTTTGCCGTACTTAGGAATGGGCAAAATGTGTGATTCCTTCCACAGAGTAGGATAGGTTTCCCTTTCAACAGCGAGATTAAATAACTTGCATAGGTGGGATGGGAAGATCGTGTTTGCATCGGCTTTTAAAATGCTTACTGTGACACCATCAGTGCCTGGACTATAAGCTTGACTTAAACGCCGAATCGCAACAGTTACAACCCACAGAGTGAAAGTTATAGTTTCTAGAACTGCCGCGGTCAATGCCTGGATGGTCGGAAGCGGAGTCTTCGAGTCTTCAATGAACGTTTTGGACAGGAAATCATTGGAGCTATCAGCGGTTAACTGGGTATCAACTACGGGCTTTCCGATAGCGTCTCGGAGGATGGGAAGCTGCGTCTTTCGG